GCTTTCTTTGGATTTTTTTAGATTCAATATTTAAAAAATATTTCTTACATGACTTAAAGCGTTGTTTCAAGAACTTGGTGACAGTGATCTCTGGGCCGGGCAGTGTGCACTTAGACTCAATGGAAACAGGGTGAGTAGTACTAAAAGTAAGAACTAAACGAGATGTCCTTGGACATGGTTGGCGGAACGAGAACAACCTACTCCCGTAGATTTAATAAAGGGTTCAGTTCGAATATTGCTGAAGGTTACTCGGATCGACAAGCTTCTGATGAGATCCAGATAGCACAATGACCAAAACACTGTGATAACAAAGATGAGGACAATAATTCGCGTTTAAAAAAAAAAAAAAAAAACTCATTCCAGAAGTTCAGGCATAAGACATTTTTTTAAATAATTTTTTTTTTCTACATCATTGAAGCATTATCAACAGTAATTATTTACACTAGAATGTTTAGACTGGTTCCGAGTAAGATCCTCAAGAGAAGGATTTTTTGTTTTTAAAGTGAGATATGATCTTCTTTAAAGTTGTTGAATTTTCGCAGCTTATTCCCAATTTGTATTGTCTGTTTAGTGCCGTAAGTTGACGGTTTGATTTAAACTAAAGAAAAAAAAATGCGATGTCAAAGGAATCGGAGTCAGGCATTAATGATTGATAAGGTTTCCTTTGATAAAATAGAAAACCAAGATTTCTTTTAGCTTCTAAGGGAGATTACTCCATTTTCCCGAATTTAACAAAGTTAATTCTAACTCCCGGAGATTTGAGTACGGCTTTGGTTTCAGCTCCAATATAGTTATTTTTCTCTATTTTTTACTCTGATGTTCATTATCATGTGACAAACACAGGATCATATATGCAGAAAAATTTCTTTAGAAAAAACAATAAAATAGTATTGAAGTATTACGTGTTATCATTCCTCCACCTATATGGCAGTGAATGCGGGACAATCTCTTCAAAGATGAAGAAAAGACTCGATGCAGCAAAAATGTGGTTCTACAGAAGGAGGCTGAGGATATAATGGACTGAACATGTGAACAACGACGAAGTTTTAGAGGAAATGGAAACAAAAAGGACATTTATACTTAACATCAGAAAGAGACAGTTGATATTTTTAGGGCACATGACGAAAGAGGGCTTGGAAAATTTTACACTCACAGGACAGATTGAAGGTTAAGAGAGAGGAGGAAACAAGGCATAAGCTATCTAGAAAACTTGAGTAAATGGATGGCAGAACAGGAGTTAGGAGAGATAAAACTACAAAATTTATTAAGAGCTACAAAAGACAGGATATTGTGGAGAGCCATGGTCATCAACGTCTTGAAGGGACATGGATGAGTTCGCTCGTTACCATACATTGCTAATGGTGAGAAGTTGGGGAAGCGTTGAAAACTTTATATCCAACTTGAAAATCTTTTATAAAAAAAACTATCAGGAGTGAAATACTAGGTACTTACCATTTTCACAGAATTCTCCGGTCCACCCTGGAGGACACCTGCACTTATTTGGCGCTATACAATCCCCTCCATGTTTACAGCCATCATCGCAGATCGCTGCAAAATACAAGAGCAATGGAAATCGGTAAACATTTAGAAACGGTGGGAGTTAAAAAAAATAATGATAAAAATAACACACACACAGCCAAATCAAAAGTGACGGTCCATAGACAAATACTCTGGTTCCTTATGTGTGTGTGTGTGTGTGTGTGTAAGAGAGAGAGAGAGGGGAAAAAGACAATGGTGTCATGGTATACCACTTAGTAATTAATCTAACAACGAACATTTACCGTTATCGACTGTATGTCTCATAGGACAAAGATTACAAATTAATGCCTAAGCAGGCATCGGTCAGCTTCATACTCTATTAAAAAAAAAAAAGTAGACATAGTTTGCGAGTCAAAATTATACAGGGATTGGGTTTATACCTCCAGTTTGCAAGGATCCATCCGAAAAATGTCCTCTTTTGGAATGTTCCTAGCTGTTTGTCGACGGTGCAGTCGTTGTATTCTAAGATCCGCCAACAGGGCCAATGACTTTAATAAGTAAATGTTAATTCCCATATAACGAATTTTGTTGAACCTCTTCATGTCTCCGAAAATTATAATTATTTCTATTATTAAAAAAGTTTAAACGTTTCAAATTATCTAATAAAATCGTAAATGCATTTTATATTGAGAATTCTTGTGTCAAAACTAATCTTAACTCGGTGAAATATTTTTTAAATTTATACAGAATAAAATTTTAGTATACATCATATAAAAAATTCCCTTTTAGTTATTTTATATACAGGAAAATTCAATCGACTATTTGTATAAAATGATTTAGAGGTAAAAACACTTTACCTATTAAAATAATGTAAAAGAAATTACTCTTCAAAAGAATTTAAATTAGTTACTTCCCTTTAACAAGATTTTTTTTTTTCGTTGCTAGATTTTACTACTAATGGTGAAGTTTAAATGAGTAAGACATCAGATAGCTGGAATTGGAAGATTTTGTTGCGCCAATATTCTAAGTCGATAAGGTTTACTTTGGGTTTAATCAATCTAAATATTGTTTTGTTTATTTAGGTTCAACAGGGATACTGTGATGGTTTTTAACAAACAAGTCGATAAACGTTTCTTTTGTTGTTTTGTTTTTTTTACACGCAATACTCTATCTATGTGGTTTAATAGGACTAAAAAGAATTCGCGCAAATTGAACTGCATAATTCATATATAATGCTAAATAAAAATCGCCATTATTCTCGCTCTGTAACAATGTTTCTGTTTCTAACTCTTCCATCTCTGTATCACGTTGTGTTTTAGTGATTTTACTGCCTTCCTTGGCGCGAACTAGATTTAAAAAATATCTATTGAATTAACGTCTCTTGAAAATGGAGCAGTCAGCGAATAGTGTGTTATAACATACACCGTTCGCTCTGGGCCTTTTAATAAGGCACTCAAAAGGCAAGCAATTCTTATTGCTTTATGTAAATTTTTTTTTTTTTTTTTTTTTTTTAACACTTCAGTCAGTTATGTGCCATGTGTGATACACGCTTAGGAACTCATGTATCTTTCGATACATGACTGACGAGGCAGATTTTATTCCCGCAGTAGGTTGCCATTTCTTTCTGCAGTAGACCATAGAACCCGGTCTGCCCTGCTATTTACCCATAGCGCGGGGGTGAGAAGAGGATTCATATCTTTCTCAAGGGTATTAACACGTAAGTGAATGTAATGGATTCGACTGAAATTCAAACTCGGCTCTCAATCTGGGCTGCTATCTATTACTCCACCGGGCCACCTTACCAAACCTGATTTGTTCAGGCCACTCAAAATAAAAAATTAACACTCGGAAATTTATCGGTTGGCGTAATGTTTACAATATACGACACTGACCAGTGGTTTATAATCATTTTCAGTCACTAGCCCTAGATCAAGCAGATAATCACAGTTTGACTGGTTTCTCAGAACGCCTTCTTTTTTTTCTTTTTTCTTTTCTTTTTTTCTTTTTTTTTTTTTTTTTTTTTCTTTTCTTTTTTCTTTTCTTTTTTCTTTTCTTTTTTTTTTTTTTTTTTTCTTTTCTTTTTTTTTTTTTTTTTTTTCTTTTCGTTTTTTCTTTTCGTTTTTTCTTTTTCTTTTTTTCTTTCTTTCATACGCGTCAGTCAGTTCCCCTCAAATACTATATTTTAGCCTTGCTGTCTGGCAAGTTCATAATCGATATTTAGCTCATGAAAGCCATCAATGCAAATTTATTCCTCGCCAAATATGTAAATAGATAACTGTTTAAATTTCAACCTCGACGAAGACGCCTTGACGACTGAAATATTTTTTAAATCCACGATACCCTCAATGTCAAGAATACATTTCTTAAGATTTCTCTAAGGTATTTCCCATGTAAACAACCACAACTTGAAGGCTGGCCCTGTTTTTCATCATTTGTTCTCATCATGGTGTCACAATTCCTTAACAAGGTCGTCAAGGGTCATAACCTTTGGCCGCTGCTTGACAGAAAACGAAATCAATTACGAAATACTTAAGAACAGTCTTTCAAATTTTAAAGAGTCAGGAATGAAATAATTTAAAAAAGGAATGAAACGTCAAATTGGACGTGTCTTTATGCCAGCCTGGATATAAATCAATCCACTAATTGATTCAGTTTTATCATTGTCGATAAAAGACAGCTGGCTGGTATGGTAGTCTTGACAAGATGCTTTGCGACCGAAGGATAGCTTAGTAAAGTTCTGAGGGGCTTCTGTGGTAATGGTATTGTTGGGGAATTGTAACTTTGAGTAAATAATAATAAACCCTACCACATTTATGTATATATAAAAATACTCCTAAAAATGAGAAACAGCAAGACGTGGAAACAACGAAAGTAGTATTATTTACCATGCGGTGTTGGTGGCACAAGAGACACTAATAAAATTATGAATTTGGGGTCAAATATGGATCAAATATGGATCAAATATGGATCGGAACCCGACAGAAAGATGAGATAAATAATAAGCAAAGTATATACAGTCTTTTTCGTATTTTTTTTATAGATGTGTGTAATGAGTGTCCAGATAATGTAGTTGGAAATCATAAGTCTGGGATTTTCTTACATCAAATTTTTGAGTGCTAAAAGATAAATGTTACTATTACGGCCTGAAAAAGGGAAAGAAAATGTAATTTTCGTTTACGCACGTGTTAACGACCTGTCCGTGTGAACTGCTTGTCCAGTAGAGAGAAAGTCACGTTTGTTTATGTTTGTATGTGTAGAGGAGAAAAGGTAAGTTAATTCTCATTGGCTTATAAGTTTTTTTTTTCTTAACCATTAAAGGTAATTATAATTGTTATAATTATTCTATTACAATTATTTTTTTACGCTATAATTAATTTTTTATTTATGTATTTTTATGGACATGGCAGTATCCATTTTATAGAGAATGGATAACTCAAGTTTTAAAGCGTATGTATGGTCTTCTGGGTAGGCAATAAGTGTTTAGATATCTAAGCATATAATGAAGCAAATATTCTTGTGAAATGCATGAATTTTTCTCGTCATTCGTTGTTTCATTCATTTTTTTTTTTCTTTCGTTCTCTTTTGATTTTCAATCATTTCTTTTAAGTACTTTTTCTCATTCACTTTTAAATTTTTTTCTAATTGAGAAAATTCTTCCTGTTGTTACATTCCCAGGTTTTCTTTCTTTTGCTCATCCATCTCTACTTTCTCACTCTGTTTTTCCCCCTCTCTCTCTCTCTGTTCCTCTTCATTTTCTCTCTCTCTCTCTCCTCTTTCCCTGTCTCTCTCTTCTGTTCATCTCTCTCTCTCTGTTCCTCTTTCCCCCTCTCTCTCTCTCTCTCTCTGTTCCTCTTTCCCCCCGTCTCTCTCTCTCTCTCTGTTCTCTCTTCCCCCCCCCTCTCTCTCTCTCTCTGTTCCTCTTCCCCCCTCTCTCTCTCTCTCTCTGTTCCTCTTCCCCCCGTCTCTCTCTCTCTGTTCCTCAAAAATTTCCCCCCTTATCTCTCTCTCTCTGTTTCCTCTTTCCCCCCGTCTCTCTCTCTCTGTTCCTCTTTCCCCCCCTCTCTCTCTCTCTGTTCTCTTTCCCCATCTCTCTGAAATTCTCTGTTCCTCTCTCTCTTTCTCTCTCTCTCTCTCTCTTCAGAATTCCTTTTTCCTCTCTCTGTTCCTCTTCTCTCTCTGTTCTCTCTGTTCTTTTTTATGTCTCTCTCTCTCTCTCTGTTTTTCCCCCCCCTCTCTCTCTCTCTCTCTGTTCCTCTTTCCCCCATCTCTCTCTCTCTCTCTGTTCCTCTTTCCCCCCTGTCTCTCTGTCTCTCTCTCTTTTCCTTGCGAAATGTCTCTCTCTCTCTGTTCCTCTTTTAAAATCTCTCTCTCTCTCTATTTTTTCCTTCTGTCTCTCTCTCTCTCTGTTTTTTTTTCTTCTGTCTCTCTCTCTCTCTTTTCCTTTTTCTCTCTCTCTCTCTTTTTCCTGTTCTCTCTCTCTCTTTTTTTTCCTTCTGTCTCTCTCTCTCTCTTTTTCCTTCCGTTTCTCTCTCTCTCTCTGTTCATATCTTTTCCTTGAATCTCCAAATTTATGAATTCTTTTTTCCTTGTAAATAGTGTAAAATATTTCCATACAGACATTTGATAAAATACGAGAAACAACAGATTCTATTTCTGACTGAGTCTATTTCATTACTGCCAGAGAAGCTTCTCTTATCATCCGTACTTTAAAATGGCTAAGAAAAAAAAAACAAAAAATCTCGTAACAGAATTAAATTAGGTTAAATTTTAAGTGTAATGGTGAAAAAATGAGACGAAGAAAAAAGAGAAGGGGGCAATATCATGACGTCAACATATTTTTTTTCATTATAGATAAGTCACAAAAAAAGCGTGGCCGAACGGTAACAAAAGTCGAAGTAGACTTTTTCCCCCTTTGGTTTTAAACTTAGAGACAAACTGTTTTCTTTATCTCCGTTTTTGGGATATATAAAAAAAAAAGCGCAGTGTAATTGCTTGTCCACTGATAATTTCTTTTGTTTTCAACATGTCTGCGGCTTTATAAGACAGACACTTAAGCGCAACCTACTTCTCAACTCAATGTGGATCTCTCTCTCTCTCTCTATATATATATATATATATTTCTGAGATGAAGTATTATGTACATTATTTACATTATTCGGACTATTGTCCTCATCTTTGTCGCCATATTTATCACAACGTTTCGGCCGTTGTACGCTCCGGCCTTCTTCAGTTGGTTGGAATGTCGAACTGAACCCTTTATTTCGCTCACTGGGGTAGACTGTTCTAGTTCCACGTGCCATGTTTGATGGATGTCAGTTATCAGTTTATCTCCTGTTAATTTCCCTCTGAAAGTTCTCCACTGCCTTAACAGGGTATTTATTTTATATATTTATTTATTCTTTTCGGTTTTCGATGTTTTATTAACGTAGTAAAAAAAATTGAGGATTTGCTTAGGTCACTTATTTAATAGTTTGTTTTTGTCTGGGAAGATAATTAAAACTATTTATTCGTCAATTTTTTTGATTGATTACCATAGTCTATTTTGTTATTTTGTCGGGGGACAGTTTTTACTTTGTTTATTATTCTATTTATTTATTTGGATTGATTGTTTTTGCTTATTTATGTTTAGTTCTGTAATTTTAGCAGGAGGGATTTGTTAATTTGTTCATTTATTTATTTGCATTAATTTTTACTTGTTTTTTTTTTCTTATTTATTTACTTATTTTTTAACTTGTATATTTTTATTCTAGGTACTGGCTTGAGCTCACTGGAAAATGAGTATAGCAGAATAATAACGGCCTTAAACTTGATGAAAATAATTTTTTATCGTCTAAATATTTATTATCAAGAGGAAAGATAGAAGTATATTTTAATTTTTTTTTTTTTTTTTTTTTTTTTTTAATAATTTCTAGCACGTCCAAAATTTTCGTTAAAAATCTTTTTTTTGATCAGCAAAATTGACAGAAAATCGATCGTCAGCCATTTTTTATACTTTTGTTTACAAAAGTGAAAGTCTCCGTTTAAAATTTTTATAAAAATATCAATTATGATTTTTTTTTTTTAAATTTAATTTAAGAAAATTAGAAATTATAAAGTTTATTTAATACATTTTGAAACAAACATTACTTACTTGCTGCGCTGAAAAAATGTACTTTAAAATGAGAGCCGGTCTTAACAGCCGTATTGATTGACAAGTGACATGTGCGTGGTTTCATCACGCACTGACATCTTACGGAAGGAAAAGTTATAGTACGGAAGGTCACAAGTGACAGTTTAGCTTTACGTAAACAACTTATTTACCTTGTTATTTTTTTAGTAGGCATAGCATGATAAAAACGGCCTTAAACTTTACGAAAGCAGAATTTTATCGGCAAAATGTTTGTTATTACCAAGGCAAACCACGTGACAGACTATTGTTTTCATGATGCTTCCGGTCTTCCGTATATTTGAATTAAGCTATTTTTGGACACAAAAAAAGTTATATTAGATTTTTATCTATTTGCAGATTGCTGATTGTAACCAGCTTTATTTTACAATCTGTAATGATATTTATCTACTTAATAACACCACTGACTAAACTGTATAATATTTTCATTAATTTTAGAATATTTAACAACTTCATAAAAACTTTTGAAATTAAATAATGTCTTTGTTTTATTGAGTTTTGTATGTTACAATTCAGAGCTGATTTTAAGGTAGAAGGGTGTCAACTAAAAAAATAATTTGCTTTCTTCAAAGCCTTGTGCTTTTAACTAATTAATCACTAAAAATGTACGCATTTGAATTTCAATAGTTTTCATAAAATTACTTACGGGGGGTAATAAATATAAAAAAAATATTTTACCATTTAAAAAATACAAACATACTTATAATTTACATCATTTAAGAATAGTTTCTGAAAGTTTCATTAAAATCCGACAATTATTTTTATTTTTGCAAGATTTTCAAAATTAACGACTGCCATAAAAAAAAAAAAAATGCACAAAAAATCCGCCATGTTATTTACTAGGATTTTTGCTGATGAAGAGGAACGAGGTTTTCCAATCAGAAGTTAGAATGCTCTAATAAAGACAGAATAATTTTGAAAAATAATTAAAAATTACTTTGTTCTTTCCTCTTGATAAAAACAAACATTTTGACGATAGAATTTTATTTTTGTCAAGTTTAAGGCCGTTATTATCCTGCTATGGTCATTTTCCAGCGATCTCATGCCAGTACCTACTGTATTCAGTTTTCGATTTTTGAGTAACAATGATTATTTTTTATTATCGTTAGATAGCAGTTATAGCTATTTTTTCGTCCGATTTTTGGATTGGTTGTTGTAGTCTATTTTAACGGTTATTTTGCCGGGATTGGTTTGTTAATTATTTTATTTATTTGGGTTGATTATTTTTAGTTGTTTTTATATATTTATTTTTTATTTATTCTATTTCGTCTGTTCTAACGGAAGTGGTTTGTTAATTTGTTTATTATTTTGGGGGGCTAATTATTTTACTTGCTTTATTATTATTTTGTTTATTTTTATTTATTCATTTCAGTTTTCGATTTTTAAGTAACGTAGTAAAAATTTGTTTTCATGTCTTCATTTTGAGATGAGCTCAGGTCGTTCATTTAGTAATTTATTTTGGTTTGAGAAGGTAATAACTATTTTCCGCCAAGCAAAGTTTGGATTACCCACAATGCACTACTGATCCATATATATAGTCGAGAAAAAAATCGCACACTCGTGGCCTGGCGATTGCGTCTATCATGTAACAGTCTGTCGCCTGTGAGTGTTGACTTCAATGTTCACTTATATATAATATTCATTTTTTATATTTCTCTTTTATTTTTTCTTTGTTTCGGAGTATAGGTATTTGGAATATAGTTTATTAAATTTAAATTTTACAATCGTATCATTTACTGCTCTAAAAATATGACAATTTTAAATATATATATATGTGTGTGTGTGTGTCTTGAACAATAAAGGTTAAAAATTTAAATTTCAGATTCATTGGTTTGTATATTAATATTACTACTTGTTAGTAGCAGTGAACTAATACACACACACACACACACACACACACACACACAGAGTTTTATCTTGGTGCATTGACTATTGCAAAATTTTAGACAGGGAGTGAAAACTATCTTCCCCCCGAGTGAACCTCTGGTGTAATTGTAAAGAAGATTGGAAACCGAGTTAGAGCCGAAACATTTTCTGGTTGATAAAGACGCATCAATGAATCTACTATGTCTTGTTTATAGGTTTTATATGCACTTATGTGACAAAGAGTTTCGGGGTGGTCATTTTCGCCGAAACTACGCGATGTTTCATAGATGCGCACCCGTTTGAAGATTTGTGTGTGTGTCGCGCTCTGAATGTTCTGTCATATCCAGTTTGTCAGTTACGAGATGACGCCGACCATAAGCTGATCAGAAGTCCTTTCTGATACATGACTTATGACAAGACCGTGATTCTGTGTCTGGAAAATGTTTTGATTTCTGTTCTGGTCGTCATAGCATTTATTGATTGTGACGGAAAAGGAAATCAAAATTTCTTCACAGAACTTAGAAGGAGATTTTAGGTGTGTAGTATCTCGCGAAATGTCGTTACACAATTTTTTTTTTTTTTTTTTTTTTTTTTTTTTTTTTTATAGCAGTAAATTTAGAACCTTGTGATCCCTGAAAATTCCGCGATAACTGCCTGCGATCGAAGAACATATATAGCAATAGTTCATTTGGTTGGTTTTGTTTAGCGGCATATCAACCTCTATGGGTCATTTTATAGCTTTAACTAAATATTTTGTATGCATTCAAGTACAAATAAATGTATTGGCCATTATTACTATAATGTATTTTTATACTTTCATAGTGTTTTATTTTTGTTTAGGGGTTCACTATTTGCCCACAGCTGGGACCCTAGCATATGCTACCACCCCGAGTGGAACAACAGCAATTAAGAAGTGGTTTTACGCTGGACAAAGCCTCCAATTTCCCGACGAGAAGCCTTGCTGCCGGATATAGTTTATCGTCATACCCAGTACTAAGCAATAGTTTAGACTAGAAATACACGTGAAAATTTCACGGTTTTCCTATTTTAATTTTCTGAAGAATCATAATTCTTCAATTAATGATTGAATATGATCCTTGCGAGTTCTGCGACTAGAATATACCCCCGTGGAAATTTCGCTACTGCCTCGTTAAATATTTAAGAATTTTAAGAAAATATTACAATATCAATTATAAAGTTGAATGCAGGCCATTATTTAAATAAGAGGGTAGGACGGGAAGTGCGACATTGATATCTGAAGGTGCACTGGGGTAACCAAAGATGCCTTCCAAAAGCTAAGCAGAGTATTAAGAAACAGAAAAAAACTGTTAGAAACAAAAGATTACTGAACTGTTATGTGATATCTGTCTTCCTATGTGCGTGCAGGACAATCTTCTCAACGATAAAGAGACTTGAAGCAACAGAAATCTAGTTCAACAGAAGGATGCTGAGGATACCATGGCCCGAATATGTGAGCAACGACAAAATTTTAGAGAATTGGAAACAAAAAGAAAACTTATACTTAAGAGCTACGAAGGATAACAAATCAGCCATGATCGCCCACGTCCTGAAGGGACACGGTAGATAAAGTGGGTACAAAGGAAAAGATTCAAAATTGAGTAGATTGATCGTTCATTTTTTACGGTTTATCAACCCTTTGCATGTTATTTAAAACCAGAAAATATTTTAGATTGTTAGACTTTTTAGATAATGGTTTAGTGATACAAGTTTTACTAATTAAAACATAGCTGGGGAAAAAGAGGTGAATTCATGCCTTTCCCAAGAGTATTTACGCGTAAGTGAATATAACGAACCCAACGGGAATTGGAACTCGGCTCTCCGATTAAAAATTCTTTGCCATTAACCATCACACCATCCGTACATCCAAGCTTACAGCACCTGGTATACCCAAGTGGTCACTCATCTAGATACTGATCAGGCACGACGTTGCTTTGCTTTTGTAATCGTACGGGAAAAGGTGTTTCAACGTGAAATGGCCGGAAGCCTCATAACTGGCTAAGTTTTCTATTTCACTTAAGCAGACGTTAGACACAAGAGAGTATCATCGTCTTTCTTTTTCTTCCCTAAAACCAAAAAGCGCCTTTGATGTATCTTTTCTTCGGTCTATCCCGGTAATCAAACAGTAGTGGTCAATTATTTATCTGAGGCAATGGCAACGCGTAACGTACGTGCTAATAGCAAAGCTGAATTCTAACATGATAGCTTAATAATGAAAAACTTATTTTGATGCAGAAATGCTTTGCAAATTAATATACTATCGATATTTTATTGCCCACTTTGTTGTATACACTTCATTGGGGGTGGGTATTGTTGGGTTGGTCTCATCTCGTCTGGCCGTGATTGCTTGTCGTTTTAGTTCGATCCTCTTCTCTTGGTCGGGGTCGCCAAATGTTCTTTGGGTTCAGAGACGAAAAGCTTCAACCAAGAAATTTTAACTATTATTTTATTAACCACGTCGACGGGTACATCTATCAAGTGAGGATTACGTCACCTCCTATTTGGGAGTCGCTTCCGAACACGAAAATTTCTCACGTCCATTTCGTTTTCAAATGTAACCAACTCTCGAAAGACCCTTCTTCACTGGGTGGGGAGGAGTGTGGTACAACTGCAATCTAACACGTCTAGTTTGCCTGACGACCGAACAACTCCCGAAAAATCTTTATAACTCGTTTCCACGTTTGGCTCAGCCAATCAAAATCGACCTCTCTATTTTGTCTACTATCTGACCTCAAACGTCAGCCTCAGAAAGTCTGAGTCAAAATAAACTGCCACTAAAACATAATAGTCTGAAACTATTATTTAACAACTCAATGTAAGATCCAAGAGCCACTCAAGGTAGAGGGACAATGAATGAGGTTGTAAGAACGCGAAGGGATGTAAATTTAGAACCTTTTGTCTTATAACTTGTGCCTAGAAATATTATGGTGTTATGTAAACTTTTATCTATTTTTTGTTTTTATTAATTATGATCAAACAAATCTAAATGCATTGAGAAGCCTTTTTATCTTTTACAATTTTTTACACAGTTTTTACTTATCGAATACAGTAAAAATTAACATTTTGCTTGTGATGATTTATAATTGGAATTCTGCTTTCATTATATGTTCAATTCAATATATCTAATGCAAAAGACATCTACTTTGTTTGGATTTATTCTTGAAATAGTAAAATTTTGAAGTCGGTTTGTAAACAAAAACCTGCGGAAATTAGGTGTTTCTATACATTTTTAGATGATCTTTAAAACTAAATGCTGTGGTCTAACCTGAAAAGAGATAGGCTCGGTGATGTTAAGAGGGTCCAAGACACGCTACATAATAAACACACCAAGAAACATTTCGTGGAGACCCAGGCTCTGGCCCACGATCGCGACAGGTGTAGAAGAATGGGGGACAGTTCAGCACGTCGGCACCCCAACGAATCCTCCCGAATATTTGTACCGTCACTTTGTTTTGATGCAACTTTTATATCATTTTTCAGCATTTCACCCCAAGCAAGGAGGGTGTGCCACTAGCACGCAAGGGGTTACAGAAAGTGAAAGTAAGAGTAAAGGTGTTTTGAGGAAAGGATAAAGAGGAGGACGGGGATCAAGGCATCAGAAGATTTAAATTTTTTTTAATTATAGTTATCAGGAAAGCAAATAAAAGGAAGGAAATTCCACTGTCGAATTGCGAGAGAAGCTGTTGGAGTAGAAGAGGTGGTTACATTTAACTTTTTCGATAGTAAAAGAGTGGGACCGAGATGCCAACCTAGTAGAACTCTTAAATTCATGCAACGAAAATAACTTGTCAGAGCAGTTGCCATGAAAATATTTATAGAAAAGACAGAGGGAAGCCGCATCAAGTCTGAGAGAAAGAGACTGGAGTCGAGATGCCAGGTCAGGACCTATTACATTGTATATCTGTTAAAATATTAGTAATAGGAAAAATATAGTGGCGTCAAAGGTTGTCTTTAGATGTGTAAATGAAAGTAAATTTGTAAATAGCGAAAATATGTTTGATATACCTTATCCAAGTATGCCTCTCTGTATTGCAGATGCCTGCTCAGGCACATCTACGCTTGTTCAACGCCTGCAGAGTTCACCTGTGGTTTAGAGTTCGGACCTGGATGGCATTATCTGTTACAGTCTGAACAAAGCCAATTCAAATTCGGTTAGCGGACCTTAGTGATATTGTTTTAAAGCATTTTCCAAAGGTGTTGCATGTTGGGATAGCTTCTTCATGCCGATAACATCAAGAAGTTACCATAGTGAAATTCGAACCAAGATCTTATGGTTGGAAACCGAACGCTCTAACCACTCGGACATGGAGTGAAAAAAGTATGAAAATAGACTAACAGATGTGCTTAACTAGTATAAAAATCCCACGATATAATGTGAATATTACCAGCAACATTTACAGGTCTCATTCGTGGCAAGGTTCAGGAGTCGCCCGGATGTCCATGCCCTTATCTTTTTGCTTGCAGGTGGATGATGTCATTAGTAAACCAAAGGATGGAATCGGCTGGGACATGTCTAAGAGTGGAATTCTTCCTGACACTTACACATACCAAAAGTTCTAACTGCTATTCTCTATTTTTTTCTCGCTTCTTTTATTACTCCGCCTTTTTACTTTTTTTCTTTCTTTTCTTAAAACTTGACTTTTCTTGCCAACGTTTTCTGACTCATTTTACGCTGTTTTTTTTTTAAATATATATTTGCTTTATTTCTCTATTTAATCTTTCATTTATTCATTTTTTTTTATCTGTTTCTTTTTTCTGGTCATCTTTTTCTTTTAGAAGTTGTTCTTCTCTTTCTTTTCGTTCTTATTTTTTTATTTGATTCTGTTTTTCCCTGTCATTTTCTCTTCTTTCCATCTGTCTTAATCTTTTTTCTTTCCAGCACCATTTTTCTTTCTTTACACCTCGTCTCTCTTTGCATCTCGATTTTTTGTTAATAATATCGCTCACTTTTCACTTTCTCTCTCTCTCTCTCTCTCTCTCTTTTTGACCCACTCTCTTTTTTTCTCTTTGACCCACTTTCTTTTTTCTCTCTGGTCCCTCTCTCTTCGCACTCTTTTTTTCTCTTTTCTCTTCTCTCGTCTCTTCTCTCGTCTCTTTACTTCTCTCTGCCCGTCCCCCTCTCTCTCTCTTCCCCTCTCTTCCCGCCCCCTCTCACTCTCTCTCTGCCCGCTCTTCTCTCTCTGCCCGCTCTTCTCTCTCTTTTTTCTTCTCTGCACTCTCTCTCTCTTTTTTTCTCTGCACTCTCTCTCTCTCTTTTTTCTGCTCTCTCTCTCTTTTTTTCTCTGCACTCTCTCTCTCTCTTTTTTTCTCTGCACTCTCTCTCTCTTTTTTTCTCTGCACTCTCTCTCTCTCTTTTTTTCTCTGCACTCTCTCTCTTTTTTCTCTGCTCTCTCTCTCTTTTTCTCTCTCTTTTTTCTCTCTGCCTCTCTCTCTCTTTTTTTCTCTCTCTCTCTCTCTCTTTTTTTTCTGCTCTTCTCTCTCTCTCTTTTTTCTCTTCTTCCTCTCTCTCTTTTTTTTCTCTGCACTCTCTCTCTCTCTCTTTTTTTCTCTGCACTCTCTCTCTCTCTCTCGTAGTTTCAATGACTATCCTAATGTCCTCAAAAATGCAGAGATCATGATTATTGCAAGAAACATGGAAACTGTCTGGCATCAGCAGAAATGTCAGAAGGTGTTGGGAAATCTTTTGGGCGTCAGGTATTTTCAGAAAGATCTCGAAAATCCAAATAATGCAACAATCTTGTCGGGCAAAGTTCTCTCGTTGGATGTCGAGTGGTTCATTTAAAAAGTTCTGCATACCGCTTCAGATAAAGAATAATCGTTATTATATTTACGGGCATAATACGATAGCTTAATACGAAATAGGTTAATAAATATTTAGCTTCTATAGGGTGTTCCAATAACTTGAACAGATTTAAAATATGAATTAAGTTTAAGCGTCTAATGATTTTTTTTCTTTTTCTTTGATTTAGCAACTTAATTCTTTGGCAATTTCAACCATGGAAAGATTAACAATCAAACAACGTGTTAAAGTTATCAAAGCCTATTACGAAAATGGACGTTCAAACAAAAATGCATTTCGCGATTTTTTTTTTTTTTTTTTTTTGTGGTCAAAATAATCGACCAAGCGAGAGTGCAATTGGAAAAATTGTTCGTAAATTCAAACAAACTGGGTCAGTGGCAGGTGTGAAAACACCACTGCGTGCTCGTTTACGCTGTTTAGCTGAAAACATTGCTGCAGTGCACAAGAATGTGGCCGAAAATCCAGACACTTCTATTCGTCATCGCGCGCAGGAATTGAACCTCTCCACAACACCGTTACATCGAATTTGGAGAAAAGATTTCTCTACACGCTTACAAAATTCAATTGACCCAAGAACTGAAATCTGCTGATCACTTGGAGCACCAAACATTTGTCAATTGGGTTGCACGAGCAAAGACAAGCCGATGAAGATTTTTCCCAAAAGATCTTCTTTAGTGATGAACCCCATTTTCATGTTAGTGGATTCGTTAATAAGCAGAATTGTCGTATTTAGGCTGATGAAAATCAAAGAAAGATTGTTGAAAAGCCACTGCATCTACAAAAGGCTACTGCTTTGTTCGCATTTTTTTGCTAGCGGAATAATTGGGCAGTATATAAATTTGAATGTCCACTTTCGTAATCGGCTTCGATAACTTTAACACGTTGGTTTGATTATTAATCTTTCTTTGGTTGAAATCGGCAAAGACTTAAGTTGTTACAAGAAAGAAAAAGAGAAAAATTATTAGACGCTTAAACTTAATTCATATTTAAACTCGCTTCAAGTTATTTGAACACCCTATATTTTTAGCCAATCAGATTTAAATTACGTCTTCACACCCATGAAAAATTTGCCTTTTCATCAGCTTCAGAATGTATTTTTCTACTGTCTTTAAATTGAACTTACCTAACATTTGGTTTATTTTTCAATTTTATCTTAAAAATAAATTTAAGATAAAAACATACAA